AGGGTTGATGAAATGAAAAGGAAATCTATTGTTCAGGGTTACCAGACTAGAAAGAAATGGGGCCAGAGTTCTAATCCCTGTCTTTGGGTTACTGACAAGACTTCTAGGAATGTATAGGGGAATGTAAAAGCAGGGGTTGGGGCAAGAAGTATGCATAGTCAAAGAGTCTTAGTCAAATTGTGAACTGGCTCACTATTATTTCAAGTCTGGTTCTACAAGGTCTGCTTGCTCAAGGAATAGTATTATTGCCTGCAGTGTAGATTCAATTTCCATTATGAGATGATTGCACCAGTGTTGAGGTCAGCCTAAGTTCCTACCATAGGGTTATATTCTGCCACATTTACTGGTCTGTGATCTTGAAAAAGTCTTGGTTCTCTTATTAATCACCAAATCTGCCCTGAAGGCATTTGGAGCAAAAAAAAAAAAAAAAATCCTTCTTATTATTCACTTTCCCAACACTAGGATGAGACACTTTACACCTGTCACTTAAAGGAAGAGAGACGAGAGAGATTTATTTGGTTCATTGTTTCAGGGAGTTCAGTTCATGGTTGGTTGGCCTAAAGGTAGATACAGTACAATAGAAGAGCTTAGCAGAGGCAAGCATGGCAACTAGGAATGGAGGGGGAGGGAGAGAGAGAGAGAGAGGAAGAGAGAGAGAGACACAGAGAGAGAGAGAGACAGAGAGACAGAGAGAGAGAAGAAAGGGAGAGAAGAAGAGAAGGAGGGAGGGAGGGGGAGGAGGGGAAGAGAGAGGAGAGAGGGAGAGAAGAGAAGGAGGGAGGGAGGGAGAGGAGGGAGAGAGAGAGAGAGAGAGAGAGAGAGAGAGAGAGAGAGAGAGAGAGAGAGAGAATGAGCAGGAATGAGCTGAAGATAAGCATAAGCATATACTCTTCCAGGTCACTTCAGCGACTCACATTTTCCAACTCTCACTTTTTAATAGCACGCTCAGCTATGAAACTCCTCAGTGGTCCAATCACCTTTCACAGCTGTACCTCAGATACTTTTTATCTAAACCATAACACTCTTATCTTGGTGAGTTCAACCTTGAAAGGACGATAAGAAACTTTAGACAAATTTACAGCTAGCAACTTCAAATGAATAACATGTCTACATATGGAACCAAACAGAAATCTGACCCAAAGATTAAGGTAGCAAAGAAACCAGCTGCAGACCTAGGCAACAGTCATGCTTTTAGCAAAAGCAGCCTTTCTGTCCCTGAAACATGACCAGCCTGACTTTCTTACACTTCCCTTTCCTGCTCCCTGACACCTAGCCACACTAGGCCCTGTGACTCTCCTTCACTTTCTGCGCTGTTCTTTGGCTGGCTGCTCCTCATGACAACATCTTGCCCTCTTTCCAGTGTCAGATTAAGTGTCATCCATGACATGAAGGTTTTCTAAATCTCTTCTCACACCATAAAGAATAGAGCTAACTGCTTGTCTTAGTTACTCTTCTCTCGTTGCTGGGACAAATACCCGACACTCAAAATGAAGGAAGGAAAGGTTTATTTAGCTCACAGCTACTGGAGGTTTCAGTCCATACTCAGCTGGGTCCAACGCAGAGTGGCACAGAGCAGAAAGCAAGGGAGGGGCAAAGAGCAAGAGCGCAAGGGAGGGGTAGCAGCAGCTCAAGCAGCTAGCTTCTCTTCCCACCTTACACTGTAATGCAAATTACCTGCCCCAGTGTAGGGGAAGTACTCACACCTATGGGTACTTCCCAGCACTTACCCACCTATGGGTAATCCCAGCAGTACTAAGACCCATAATCCCAGCCTTGGATCACACATAATCCCAGTGGATCATGAGTTAACACAAACTCTAGAAGTCCTCACCCCATGACTGCATGAGACTTTGGGGGGACAACTAGACACAAACCATAACACTGCTCTTTTAACTATGATTTCATACCAGTTAGTTTGTACTAGTACAGCACACAGGATCTTTCATGCTTGTCTACATATCTGTCTCCTGGGTTTCATTGTGGTTCTTGTAGCAATGGCCTTGAGTCAGTCAGTCAGTGTATTGCCTATCACCATGCACTACCTAAAGGCAAAATGAGTCAAAGAGTTAAATATTAATGCAGGGGCCGAGGAGATGGCTCACTGGAATAAGCACTTCCTTGGTAAGTGCAAGGCCCTGAGTTCAATCCCCGGTCCTGCAAAAAAAAAAAAAGTAAACATTACAGCAGAAACACTAAATCTACTAAAAGAGAAAGTAGGTAGAAATCCTGAAAACACGGATAGGCAGAGAGATCATGAACAAAAAACAAACTGCATGGGACATACTTTAAAGAATTAACAACTGGGATCTCGCCTTTTTAAAAGTTTCTCCACATCAAAAGAAATCATCAATAGAGTAAAGAGAAAACCTATGAATTGGGAAAAATCGTTAACCAACTGTCCCTCAGATGAAGGATTTCTATTTAGAACATATGAACAATTTCCAAAAATCAAGTCCCCAAAATTTAAAGACCCAATTAAAAAACTGGGCATCTGAGATGAATATACACATCTCAGATGAAGAAATACAAATGTCAAATAAATATATGAAAAAATGTTCAACAGAATCAGTTATTCAAGAAATGCAAATTAAAACAGCAGTGAGATTCCATCTCACCCCAGGAAGAATGGCTATCATCAAGAAGTCAATCGGGACCAGGGAAATAGCTCAGTAGAATAAGCGCTTACCTGGCAAGTGCAGGGCCTGAGTTCAATCCCTGGTACTGCCAAAAAAAAAAAAAAAAAAAAAA